TAAGTGTAGACTGTGCCCCTGGCTTTAAGTGACCCCCTAATACCTCTGTTCCCATTTCACCTAGATCCCTTAGAAAATGGGAATGGATCTTGGATGCGGGCAGAAGAAACTCAGGAAAAATAAGCAGTGCTCATTTTAGCAGAAACGGTTACATTTTAATTCAAATCAATTGGATTATCTTATTTTGTTAGTCCACGGTGAACTGTGTTGACTCTTGTCTAGTCTTTATCTGTTACCCTTGGGGAAATTCTTTTGAAGACTATTGCCTTAGAATGCACTTCTTGTATTTTATTCCCTTTTTGTCAATAGGTTTTGATGAACTATATTAAATCTAATTTTAACAAGAGGCAGGGTATAAATGAATATACACACATTGCTAGAAATTCAACCTTCCTCAGTAGCTCAGCCCAATCCTTCTGTGAATGGGGCTGGGGTAGTTTTGAGCATGCCATTGATGCCAGGGTGTCAGAACTTAGCATTTGTAAAATTCAGCTTTTTATTTCCTTGACTGATCAATTTATGAACTGTAGGATAATTAATTGTCTTTTAGTTTCTACTTCTGAATTTAGATGGGGTGTTAGTTTTCTGTCACTATGACAAAATGACTGAGAAAATCAACTTATAAAGCAGAAAAATTTATTTTGGCTCGTGGTTTCAGTCCATGGTCACTTGGTCTCTACTCTTTGGCTTGTGCTGAGGCTGAACATTGTGGTGGGGAGCATGTGGTGGAACAAGCTGCTAACATTATGGTGACCAGGAAATAGGGAACAAAAAATGAGAGAGAGGAAGGGACCAGAATCCCAATATGCCCTTCACTGTCACACCTTCAGTGTATAACTTCCTTCCACTAGGCTCTACCTCCTGAAGGTTATACCCACCTCCAATAGTACCACAGGCTGGTGTCCAAGACTCTGGCACATAGCCTTTGGGGTCATTTCAGATCCAAATCATGACAGGTGGTAAAAAGAACACATAGGAAGAGTTAAAGTCTGAGTGTCCAAAGATACAGAAACACTTTCACGAATGAACTTCATTGTAGGCAAAGCAATGTAAGCCAAAAAAGGGGGGAGTAGTGGGCAAGTGAATATTTCTTTGAGATCCAACCTAATTTGTTCCAGTTTCCACTGGCCAAACTGGGAAGCTAGCAAGATGGATATTTGCTCAATCTTTTGTGACAAAAAACAAGTGGATCCAGCACACTTTGCCACACTTATTACCTATGTTGTAAACACCTGCAGAGTTCCCCTGTTCAGAACACTGAACACATCTGATTAACCGTGAGTAGTCACTTTCTGGCCAGGAGAATGAGGCTTGGGCATATAGCAAAAGCTTGTGGTTTGCAAAACGAATTATGAAAATGTGGGCACAAGTGATTGAGGCTAGATTAAATCACTTGAAGCCTTTCCCTGTACAGCCAAATCTTTGTATAACTGTAGAACACTCTTTACAAATGTAACGTGGATCCTTGATGTTCAGATGTCATATGTTGTACTTCTTTTTTAAATTAATTTATTTGTTCTAATCAGTTATTCATGACAGCAGAATGCTCTTCAATTCATTGTATACAAATGGAGCACAGTTTTTCACTTCTCTGGTTGTACACAAAGTAGGGTCACACCATTAGTGCAATCATACACACCCCTAGGGTAATTGATGGTCATCTCATTCCACCATCTTTCCTACCCCCCTCCCCCTCCTCTATCTTCCCTCCCCTTTGGCCAATCCAAAATTCCTCCACTCATCCCACGCTCCCCCCCCCAATTATGGATTAGCATTCACTTATCAGATAAAACATTCAGCTTTTCTTTTTTTGGGATTGGCTTACTTCACTTAGCATGTTATTCTCCAAATTCATCCATTTACCTGCAAATGCCATAATTTTATTCTTTTATTGTGGATTAATATTCCATTGTATATATATATATATATACATATATATAATATTCCATTGTATATATATATAATATTCCATTGTGTGTATGTGTATGTATGTATGTATGTATATATGTATATATATATACATATATATATATATATATATATATGCCCACCATAGTTTCTTTATCCATTCATCTATTGAAGGGCATCTAAGTTGGTTCCATAGTTTGACTATTGTGAATTGTGCTGCTATGAACATTAAAGTGACTATGTCACTATAGTAAAAATATGGAACACTTCATGAATTTGCATGTCATTCTTGTGCAGTGGCCATGCTAATCTTCTCTGTGTTGTTCCAATTTTAGTATATATGTTGCCGAAGTGAGCACTTAGCATGTAATTTCAATAGAAAATTCATATAAACCACATTTTAACAATAAACATGTTAAAATATGCCAAAATCAGAATTATTAACTCAAATATTATTTCTTAAAAAAACTCTGAAGCCACTAACTGGAAAAGGCAAAGTGCAAATGAAGATGATTACTGTGACTTCCCTTTTGGAAAATGCTGTGTGTATGTTTTGTTTATATGATTGTGTATACCTAACCTATGGGGACACATCCACAGAGCATGTAACATTTTATTAACAAGACCCCTTTGGATCAGGAGATAGATGTGAGGTCAGTGAGAAATGCAGTTTGATTGAAATTAATAAATGCTTCTGTGTATTGTTTGAAATTTTTTATTCAAAAATAAAGGGAATTGGATAAAAATGTAAACCAAAACACATGTACAAAACTGACAAAAGTCAGGGGTTCATATATTCCATTCTTTGGAAAAATATTCATTGTATTTAATTTCATAAGAGGAATGAAGTAAATAAAGAAATGGGACTGGCTCTGTGTGTGTGTGTTAGCTCCTCTAGCTACCACCTTGAGTAGAGCTCACAGTTACAGCTTTATCTTCAGTTCACATCAGAACTGACGTTCAATCTGAAAATGAGATATCCCAGAAAATGTGCTTTATTGTATTCCAGGAAAATACAGAGGTAAAAATATATTCCAAAACAGCTCTACAGTTATGATCCAGTCAACTCAAGTTCACAGCCTGCATTCCTCCCTCCCAGCTACTTCATTCTGGCCAAGAGGTGGCATTGGAGCTATGTCCATATGTAATTCATAACGAAGGCATACATTTTGTGGACTAATAAATGACCTGAAATGATTTAATTTGATACTTGTTCTGTTTAGGAGCTTCATTTGTATTTCAAAGCAGCTCCATTTGCTCTTGACCCCAAATCTACATGGCATTCACTGATTTCTCTCTTCCATCTCAGTGTAAGTAGAAGTGTGTGTACTGCAGAGGGGTCCCTCCAGAGAATATAGTCTTTGCCCTCCATTACTCCACCCCTGTACACTTCTCCCAGACCTTCTCCCACCACCTCTTAGTCATCCCCTTTCTAGAACACTGGATACAGCCCAGATCCTGCTTTAGTGACCCCATCATCTCAGTTACCTCCCTCTTGCCTTTCTTTGCCCCTTGCCCACTGGTGACTCCAAGGCACACTAGAGCTATCTGACATTTCGAAGTAAACTTTTTACAGTATTCTTTCATGGCTTCACTTTTTTTTTAAGAATTAGAATCATTGTGTTTATAGGTTCATAAACTGGGTTTTAATTGAGTTTTCTTCTTCTTCTTCTGCTCCTTGTTGCTGCACTTTTTTCTTTTTTTGGTAACCAAAGTTGTTTTTTTTTTTTTTTTTTTTTTAGTTTCCCAATTTAATTTTTTATTAAAAAAATAAATGACAGCAGAATGCATTACAATCTTATTACACATATACAGCATGATTTTCATATCTCTGATTGTATATAAAGTATGTTGACACCAATTCGTGTCTATCACATTCTACCATACTTGGTAATCCCTTGTCCCCTCCCTTCCCCTTCCACCCCTCTGCCCTATCTAGAATTCATCTATTCCTCCCATGCTCCCCCTCCATACCCCACTATGAGTCACCCTCCTTATATCAGAGAAAACATTCCACATTTATTTGCCAGAGGGAGGGGGGGATTGGTGCAGCCACCTCTTTGTAAACACAGACTTTTGATAATGCAGGTGTGTTGGTTCCACCTTGTGACAGAATCTTGAACTGCACCTTGAAAACAGCTGAGCAGGAAAGTGGGAGGGAAGGGCTCTGACCAAGTCTATCCTACAAAACTTTCTGGAAGCCTGTGTATAAAAGGGGACATTGCCAATGTGTAGGTAGGTATACTGAGGACCTCCACACAGAAAATGAAGTCTATCATTATTGGGAAGAGAAAGCTCTATGTGAGAGGACCAAAAAAAAAAAATGTCATTTTTATACTTTGAAACTTCTGGATAATTAGCTGGAGACATACAAACAAAAAAGGATTCACACTAATTATGATTTTTGGAAAGAAAATTTCCCCTTAATTAATATGGGCATCATTCCAGGAAGATATATTTCTGATTGCATTTTTAATTTTCAACAAAATTGTAGGCTTTGCCCCCACTGACTGGGTTTTTCATTGTGTGGATACCCCAGAATTAAGTTAGGATCAAAGTAATGAAAATTTAGTTTCTTTTACAGTTTTCCAATGACAAATGATAGTGTACCAAACACCCTGTTATCACAATATATGTACTTACATACACCACATAATACATGTATACCTATGCAAATGTTTGTAAGCATTTCTGTTGACATAATGACTTGTAACTGTTCTTATTCATTTATATATCTAACAGTGAAGCATAAAAGTACCTATGTCTCCACACATGAGAGACAATGAAAATCATTGCTAATGTAATAGTGAAAGGATCTTGTGTCATTGTTGTCATTATGACTTGTTTTTGCTACCTTATGGAATTCATTCCTATGCATGTAAAATAATATTCACAATGCTGAATTATTTAGAGTGTTTTTATAGTTCCTACTGTCAACCCTGTGTGCATTGCATTTTCAGAATATAATCTGCTTAAGGGCACAGTTTAAGGCACAGTTCACACCATCGTTTGAAAGGTGAGATAAATGGGTTCTATGTGAGCCTAGCAAACTGTCTTGGAAAATTCTCATATGATAACAGTTTGGGTTTTATAGGAGTATGTGTAAGGTGTGTGTGTGTGTGTGTGTGTGTGTGTGTGTGTGTGTGTGAGTGAAAAAGAGAGTGTGTGTATGCATCAGCAAGTGACACTGTGTGTTTGTGCATGCACATATATGGTGACAACCACATTTCTGTATTCTTTTTCCCTCTTCATAGATTTGCATCCTGTTTGGCCTCCCTTCCTACATTCAGGTCCAAAAGTGAAGGAAGAGAATTCTCAGCATGGCATCCTTATAACCTAAGCCTTATTGACATCCTTCATTCCATCCTGAAGATGACTTGTGAGAGAGAAAGTGTTGGTACAAAGTGTGTGCCACTTTGGAGCCCTCTAATAAGTGATACCATCCTAACATTCATAAAGGTAGTGCTGCTTGAACTGCCCAAGGCCACGGAGGAGTAAAGAAAGTAACAGTACTGATAGTCTGTCACAGAGGACAGGACTTGGACCCTGTAGAGGACCCACTATCACACCTGTGCTGCAGATGGAGGTGATGAGGTGTAAATTAGCTTTTATGCAAATGAGCAACCCAAGGGAGCATGGGTGGTGGGAAGGAGGGGGGGGGCAGTCATTGTTTGGAGTTACACAGGACATAGAGTCGTCAGGGTAGAATACAGCACAGTATTATAAAGTACATGTGCATTAAACAACTTGCTAAGAGCCAAGTTTGAGTGTTATTGTGATACAATGGAAGCTCAGATCAATATAGTATTTTTCACAACATTCTTGCAATATAATTTGAAATACAATTACCCATTTACCCATTTTAAGGATACAGCTTGATGGTTTTCAATATATTTATAAAGTTGAGCAACCAAGTATTAGCTATTTCCATCACCCTATAATATAGCATTGTGCTTAGTTAAAAACTGGTCCTCACCACAGCCCCAGGAAATGCATGTTTGTGTCTCTGGATTTGCCTGTTCCATACATTTCATATGAATGGAATCACACAATATTTGGTATTTTGCATCTGGATTTTTCACCTGTTATCATGGTTGATCCCTAGTACATCAGGTTATTTCTACTTTTGGGCTGTTGTTCAAGATGATGATGCTACATACGTTCCTGTGCCAGTTTATATGTAGACATGGGTTTTCATTTATCTTACTTGTGTACCTGGGAGTGTAATTGATGACACATATGATAACTCCCTGTTTAATGGTGAGAAGAAATGCCAAGCCATTTCCATGACCTTGGCAGGCTTGAGGATCACCTGCTGAGCTTGTTATTTTCTCCAATTAGACTGTAATCATGGGTTTTGAAGCATTTTGAAGATTTGAAGCATCTTCTCATTGCATTCTTTCTGGGAGTATAGGATATCCATGTGACATCACTGGTGACACTAAACTTCATCACTTGGTTAAGGTAATGTTTGCCAAGTTTCTCCAGTGGACAGTGACTATATTCCATCTGCTTACTGTCATGTTTGTAAGGGAGATACTAAGTTCTGCCCTCGGGGGTTAGGATCAGAATTAGCCTTTACCTCATGGAGGGCAGGTAACTGTATATGTTATTTGGAATTATTGGATGAAGATAATTTGTCTCCTCTTATCCATTTCTTTACTGATTCAGACATTTTTTATATCACTTTGGATTTATGCACATTATTGTAGAGGTTATGTCACTTCACTTTAAGGATATGCCATTGTCCTGAGTTTGTGGTGCAGTCTTGAATGTGAGTTTCCAGGGAGTTCAGAGCACTTAGATTCCTGGCAGCATCAGGACACAAAGCTTTTGTTAGACTACAGGCTTCACTACTGAGCAGACAGTAACAATGCATATTCCCTGATTTACTTAAGCTTTCTCAACTTCCTATAACCTGATCTAACTGTAGATTTAATAACAAATTACTTAAAGATTCAGTTTGGAGGGGATAATATTTAGGGTGTAATTTGGTTTCATTAGTTTATATATTTTAAATCTTATCCTCCAGATTATCTGTCATAGAGGAAACACTTGTTATTCAGCCATTGTCTGTCTGTCATCATTAAGCCTCGGAGGCCCATCATCAACACGAAGTCATTGGGAATATAACATTTTTTAATCCTTATTTTATTATTTCCCCATAAAGAGGCTTTTTAGACATTTTCCCCCTCACACACCTTCTGCCCAGAATATAAAATGTTGAGATCATACAAGGAGAATTAAGTATGTGTTGTGTTTCTTTGTAGTGTCACAAACTATTGTAATATGTACCATACGCCTATCCCTGAAAACCAGTTTGAAGTATCTTATGAGCAATATTGTCCCCTTTGAGAAT